ATATGTGCTATATAGTGAGAGTGGAATACGTAATCTGTTTTCTCTGAAAGTGTTTGTGTAAGATTGGAATGATCTATTCCTTGACATGGATCTTTTGGCAAAACAAACCAATAAAACCATCTGGGTTTAGTGTATTCTCTGTGGGAAGATAATTAAACCATTTCTAAAACTGTTCTAGTAGTTATAAAATGATTAAGATTCCTTTTTCTGTTGGTTTCTTTTTGTTTAGATATTTTTGAGATACTACTGACACACAATGAAGGGCACAAATCTTAAGTGCACAGTTCAGCGAGGTTTGGCAAATGTACACACCCATGTAGCCCATACCTCGTGAAGAAAGAGAATATTTCCATCACCAGAGAAAGTTCTCTGTGCCCTTTCCCAGTCAACCCCAAGCCCTCCTTAAAGTCAATCATTGTTCTGCTTTTTTTCCAATAGATTACTCTTCCTAATCTTGAAGTGCATATAAATGTAATAAAAAGTATGTTTTCTGTTGTGCCTGGCTTCTTTTGCCTAGAATAATGTCTCTTAGGACAAGAGAGACATTTCACTGGTTTTCAGATTAATCCAGGTTGTTTTATGTAGTACTAGCAGATCATTCACTTTTATTTTTCTGTAATATTTCATTATATGAATATACTACCATTTCAGACTTGGGCTATCATGAATAAAGTTGCTGTGAATATTCTTGAGCAAGCTTTTTTGCATGTGTATTTACATTTCATTTATCTTGGGCAAACATATAGAAATCACCGGGTAGGTAAATATTTCACTCTGAACAATTTCCACATTGTATGAGAGTTCTGGCTCCTCATCAATGTTTGATGGTGTCAATCTTTTGAAGATTGATTATTTTAGTGGTTTTTAAGTTGTGCCTTGTAAGAATTTTATTTTCTTGATAATTAATGTTAAGTACTTTTTTCATGTGTTTATTGGCTATTTATACATCTTTGTGAAGAGTCCAATTAAAACTCCCATACATTTTAATTGGATTGTCATTTTGTTATCGATCTATAGGACTTCTTTTTATTTTCTGGATAAAAGTCCTGTAGGGTTCCCCAGTTCCCCCTACTTTCTTTCTGTGTCCTGATTGAAAATCAGAGTGCCTCGACTGCCTTGTGACCCAGCCAGTTGGCTTGACCCCAAACTGGGGCCTTGAACATCCCCAGACACTGATAAAGGTATCTAGGTTTACTAGAAAGAAACTGGCCCCACCTCTGAGCCAAATTCTTCAAGTTTTCATATAAACTCCACACCCTGACACCCTTGTTGAAGACATACCTATGTTGGACACATCTCTTCTTTTGTTCTCTGTTGTTAGAATACCCTGCAGAACCTCTGTAAGTTCCCCATATAAATACTTAGGACTAATCACACTGGAATTTAGTGCTTCTTTCTTTGGAATCCCAACTGCCCCCATCTCGGGAGACTTTGGGGCACTCCCTTGTAAGAATATTCCAGCTGCTACTTTCAGGGTAACTCTAGCCATGGATGCAGCAGGGTGAAACAAGTCCCTTGTCAGATAAATCTATTACAAATGCATATTTCCCCTGTGTGCTCATATTTCCATGGGACTATCAATTTCCCTGGCCTCTTTGGACAGGGGGAGGCCTGGGTCCTGACTTGTGACCTTGATGAGTTTAGGGACTGGGATATAGACTTGAAGCACCTCAGGGCAGGGAGCTTAGTGATAACGTCTGGACCCAACTGCTCTCATTTCTCACACTTGTCAGTGGATCCTCTTCCCAGGGGCCTCTCGGGAGTCTGGTCTCAGGCTCTGAGCCTTTCTGGGGGCTGCTACTGGGTCTTTCATTTTCTAGTCTCTGCAGTGGGGAGGAGGAAGCAGAGGAGAACTTCCAGAGCTGGTCAGGCTCACTACCCGCCTTGTTTCTGTCTTCCCACCTTTGCTGAAATCCAGCATCAATTCTGCATTAATTTATTAAAAATATTTTATTGAGTGCCTACTTGGCTCTTGAATTACGTCAGTAAAACAAACAAGCCTAAAACAAAGCAATTGCACAATAACAAAGGACTCACTCTAATGGAGTACCCCCCCCCAATAGCAGAGGAAGGAGGGCAAAAAAACAGCAGACGTAGTAAGTGATGAAATCATATAGTAGGTTGCAAGGTGATCGGTGCTATGGAAAAAAGAGTGGTAGAGCTGCCTAGGACAATTGTGAATACGGCTGTCTGTGTGGAGGGGAGGTATAGGTCACAATATTGAAGAGAGTAAACCAGGGAAGGCCTCATTGAGGAGGAGATATTTGAGCAGAGTCAGGAAGGAAGTGAGGGAGTCAGCCAAGCAAATAGCTAAGGGAAAAGAACTCCAGTGAAAAAGCGCTGAGGAATGAATATACATACCTCGCATAGTCCAAAAAATGGCAAAGAAGCCAATGTGGTTGGTCTGGAGTAAGCAAGGGGGAGTCTATGAGGGAATGAGGGGAGGGTGTGAGTAGAACAGGGGCGGATCACCTAGGGCCTTGTCGATCACTACAGGGACGTGAGTTTTGCTATGAATGAGAAAGAACCACTGCCCTGTGTATTTCTCAAAGCCTATCCATAGTTTGAGGCACCTGTACCTCCCCCCATCCCAAGATGTCATTTCCTCCCCACACTGGTTTTCCCATCTGCCCACTTAAGATTTTCTTACCACCTATTTCTGGTTCTGGGACCTATCAACCTCCCTTCACTTCTGTGGCATTTCTGGGGTTGGTTCAGAGGAAGGAGCTCATACCTGGATTGGCGTCTTGTCCAGAATGGCTGGGGATACATGTGTTACATTGGTAGACAGAAAAAATAACATTCAAAGATAAACTCATTATAAAAATAATTCACTATGGAACCAAGGCACTGTTAACTACAAAGCTCTACCAGAAAACCAGTGAGAAATAATTTGGATGGGCAAAAAAAGAGACCATCAGTGTAGCATTGATTCTTTTTCTGTGGCAATAGCTCACATCCATAAATTTTTATTTGCATAATGTAACTTGAAGGCCACCCAGAGCATTCTGTAAGGAAAGCTACCTGGTAGACAAGTCCCATAACACTAATATTCAGAGATAGGATCACCTCGAAGCTCCAGGATCATGGATGGGGCTGAATCCTCCATGGTTTTGGTCAGTGGTAGAGGTCACACTATCCATTTTTAGGATCTCTTAACCTAGTCCACATAATTATAAAAGCATTTTCATTAAACTCTCCTCAGTTATCCATATGAGGGTGCTAAGATCCTTGTTTCCTGCCAGGAATTTGACTTATGAGAGATTGTACATATTTGCACCTTTTCTTTAGAACGCCTTTCATTTGTATCTCAAACTACTTGAAATCTCTGTTTTATTGTTTTGCTCCTCATTTGTGCAAGAACCTGATTAAGTGAGCTGGAATCTATTTGTTAGGACGCCAAAGAGGTGCTTTTTTTAAACCCCCAGAAATAATGAGTCTCCCCTACAGGCCTCAATTTAGTATTCTAAGTTAGAAGTATATTTCCCTAGACCTTGAGGTCTAGGAAAATATATAAGGACACATTACTTTTTTCTTTTAGAAAAGCTGAAATGATATACAAATATTTAGAGAGAAACATTGTTCTCAGTTTACACTAAACTCTTTTATAGCCGGTTGTTTTGCAGAATGGTGGGCAAACATACATTTGGATAATCTTTGCTATTTGGAAATGGGGAATTCTCCTTGTTAGAGATCATGGGGCAATTGCATTAACAAAGCACATCTGGAGTCTGCTATATAAACTGACAGAGTGACTGCACACAGCAACCACAGGGAAAGCAGAGATGTCTCCTGCATGGTGGGAAACAGATATTCCTGAACTTTGACTTGCATAGCCTATTCTCCAGCTCTTCCCTTAGTTTAGTTTGGAAAATCTCAGGGAAAGACTTTGGCTGACCTATTTTTGGCATAAGGCCCCCCACAATCAGCAGTGGCCAAAGCACCATAATTAGCCAGCTCCAGTAGAATGAGATAGGAAGGGAAGGTGCTGTTCCAGGATGAGGAAGTTACATACTCAGCACTCTCTAGAATGTTCATGGAAGCACTATTCTTAATAGCCCCAAATTGGAAACCACTTAAATGTCCTTCAACATTAGACTGGATAGATAAGTTGTGGGATATTATTTACCCAATGGAAAACTCAAAGAGAATAAATGATCAAAAATTACATAAAAATATATTGATGAATCTCATGAGCATAATGTTGAATGAAAGAAGTCAGCCACAAAGGTCCATTAATGTATAACTCCATTTATTTTAAGTACTAAAAGAGGTAAAGCTAATCTATGATATTACAAGTTAGGATAGAGGTTACCCTTCGAAAGATTAGTACCTGGAGAAGTCACAATAAGGGATTCTGGGGTGCTGGTAATTTTCTTCATGTGTGGGTTACCTGGTTGTATTGTGAAGAGTCATCAAGATATATATTAATACTTATGATACGTGCCTTTTCTGTATTTATACTATATGTGGGTAAAAGTTGCCTTATATTTTATACCAAGTTTAAGTATCTATTTTCTTTGATATGTGATATGATATGATATATATATATATATATATATGTATACACTCACACATATACACATATATATATCAAGCCAACACTGTGTTTTTGTATTGGTTTTCCTTCGGTGAGCCTAAGGGCTCTTGTCTTATGGGAGGATTGAGATATGCACCCCTTGTGAGACAGCTGCCCAGATTAAAGCTAGAGTCCTGGATTCTGGTAAAGAGCTTTTCTCTATGAAATCCTAAGGGTAAACTATGACCCTGACATCTTCAGCACTTGCTTAAAGCTAAATTGTATAAGTCATGAAGCAATACACTTTAGTTAGCATAGCATGTGTTCAAATAGAGGTTAAATAAGATTATCCTTAATGTCTCTGCCTCATGTTGCCAAGACTAAAAGAAAATACTGAAGTATCTGATTCCTCAGAAAAAACGCCTTCCTTGGGCTTATGAGAAATATATTTTTTTTCTTTCTCTTTCATGATAGTTAACCATCAGTTATTTCTGCAATTGAACCAGCTGTTAGATTTCAGCAAACTCAAAACTCGCTTTGTTTTAGGATCAAGTATGTACTGCCTTGTTCCTTGAAAGACATAGAAAAAACCTAGAAATAAAATGAGAGACAATGATTATATTAGACAAATGGATGATGATTTTCCACATAAACTCCTGAAAAAATTTTCTATTTTTGTGTATGCAATTTACTTTCTTATCTATGTAACTACATACATGATTTTTATGGTAGCAAAATGAAGAAACTAGATAGTTTTTTACCTTTATCATGGAACACGGCATCAACTTTTGTACCAATTCCAGGGAAGCTGTCAATGATCTTTTTGGGATAGCCTACATCCATGAACTGCCTGTTTTCATCATACCTGGTAATATGAAGACTTAGAAATATCAGACTGTGTGACTAATAAAAAACAGTAAACAACACTTAATATTTTTATAGGACTTTCCATGTACCAGTCACTGCTCCTAGCGTTTTGCATATGCTAATTCATTTAATCTTCCCAACAAATCTTTACCCCCTTTTTGCAAAAACCAAATGGCTACTCAAAACAATTATGGGTGCATACGCTATGGGCATGAAACCACTGAGAAATTTTCACTGGAAAGGAGAGTGGGACAAAGTAGACAAACTCTAAGAGATATTTTCAACCATAAAAGTCTGATCCAACTTCTCCCTTGGGCTCCATGCTGTCCCATCAAGGAGAAGTGATTCATTTTCTCCATTGTGGATGCCCCTGGTTCTGTTTCTATGTATGCTTCTGCTCTTTATCACCCTTGTTCACTCAATCCTTCACGTCCCCTGCATCTTAGGGCCAGGCAGCAGTGTGACAGTAACGGGTAGGGCGTTGAACAATGGCTCTAGGCCTGGCTGCAACCAGTCCCAGAAAAAGGGACATGTTTCAGTGCACTTTGAAAAAAAATTTAAAAGGCAACTATCCCTCCACAGGAGTGACCCGACACCCCAAGATTTCCAGGGGTCTGTCTTTACCTCCAGTGCTCGTTGGCAACAAAGAAGTGCGTCTTTCCAGTTTCCTCCTCGTGAACGGCGGCATCAATTCTCTTCACTCTTTCGGGGAAGCCGAAAGAGCTGTAGATGTCCCTGGGGTAGCTGTACAGCAACTCGTTCCCCTTAGCGACCCAGTACTTACTGCCTGTCAACCAAAAATCCCCCATGAAAAGATCTGCATGGGACTGTGGTAGACATTAGACAGAATTTCCTCCAGATGTTTACTTCACAAGAAGTGTTTGGAGAGTTTTATTCCAAAGCGAGGTGTACCCACGCCAGCCATTTCTCCTTAATGTAATTGGGTCACTTCTCCAGTTGCACAAGGGCCAGCGTGGGCCCCTGCAGGACTGCGGCAGTGGAGAGGGGTGGACACGTTCTACAAATGACTTCAGCTGACTAGAAGACACTTCTGAGCTCTTGACTAGGCCGGCTCCAAAGGATTCTCTATTTGTTCATTTAGTTACTGCAGAATGTCAATGCATCTTATATCATAAAGCCAGAGTACCTTTGCACAAACATACATGTTGCCATCTCATAAAAAGGCAGTTTAGAACTTCATATATTTAAAAACCCTCCTTATTTTCAAAATATACATGGTACGCCAGTCTGTTCCAGGGTTCTTAGCTTATTTAAACTCTTTTAAATTATTTATAAAACTTCGTGATGAAGTCAAGTGTCTTTATAATTTGGGTATACAAAAGCTAAAGCCCTGAATATTTTCCAAGCACTGAATGTTTGATATAATGTAAACAAAGCCAGGGTTTGTTATTGGAATGCGGTTGAATATGGCAGAATATACAAGCATTTTGTCCTTCCATCCACTGTAGCTCATCTATCCAGACAGACAGGGAGAGTGGGGGAAATGTCCCATTCCTCCCTTAAGACTCTCTCAGAAAACCAAAGGACAAACATTTGTGTTGCATTTATTACAAATGTGGCCCAAGTTGGGATGTGTGTGTATACACACACACACACACACACACACACACACACACACACGGACATATATATATCTCCACCTATATATCTCTTCATTCCAGTATCATAATCAGTAGATAAGAAAAGTTATGACTCTAGCCATTTGATGTTTAATTAAAAATTTTCAGAAATACATTATGTGATTCTCATTCACCGTGATGGAGCCACATGATTTGGTAAGTGACATTTAATTTTCAAGAGAAGTCCATGGATAAAAAGTACCCTGCACTCCCTTAATTTTCAGACAAAAAAACTGATGCAAAAATCTAATTCCTAAAAACATTGACCACAAATAAAAAGAAAAGCATTACCTCTAAAAAATAAGACTACATCTCTTTCAGGAATTTCATAAACAGCCTCAACTCCATTTGTCAGAAATGGCCAGAACTCAGAATTGAACAATGGATCTTCGTTGGTAGTTGTTTGCTGCGTTGAAGAACCTGCGATGTGAAACACGGAGCAAAATGATTTCTATAACTGCCAGTAAAACACTCTGGCCGACCTCCAATTTTCCTTTATCAACTAGAACCCAAAGACTATACTAAAGTGACCCTTCCAGCATGCCCTTTATTTAATCATCTATCTTTAGAAAACACCCTACTTGGAAGTCAATTGCGAGATGAGGTCCGGGAAGCTGCAGAAGGCTAGGAAGATGTTTTGAAGGCCCCAGCTGATAAGGGCAAGGCTGCTCTAAACCCTCCCTTCATGATCTTTCAGTTGGGAGTTTTGCTGTGTCATTTCATATTCGTAGGGACTGCGCGTACACAGCACAGCAAGACTTCCACGTGAGCTTAAAAAAGTTTCCAAGACCAAACAGGCACTGTAGCTTGCCAGCCCGGGGAAGGAACAGAAGGGTCATACAAAGACTGGCCATGGAAAGAACTCCTGATCAGTCATTGTAGCAGATGCTGTTGATGCCCAAATCCCTCAAGTTCCCCCCCAAATCACCTTCAGATTCATAGGTATGTCCCATAAATGTCTCTTCATCCACTGGACCTGAAGCGGGTGCCCAAATTGTTGGCTAGTTGGCAACCTTTTGGGAACTACCTCAAATAATGAGGGAAAGAATTGATGGAAAGCACTCTAGATTTTTTGCTCTTTGGTGGGACAGTTCTGAGAGATGTTCTATGTAGTTTTCAAAGGGTCTGAAATGGGACTGGGTCCCTGTTGCCCGTAATGGCAATCAGCTCTTTGATACATCCCTTGTGGGCTCTATACCCTTCTCTGTCTCACTTCCTTATCCTATGCCCTGTAGGATCACCTCCCAAATAAACTGCAGTACAGTATTTGCACTTAAATCCGTATCCTAGTGTATGCTTCAGTCTTCCCCCAGCTGACTAAGGACTTCACGCAAATCAGTGAACATGTCCAGCCTTCAGTTCCCTCACGGATAAAATGGCATGGTCTTAGGGTATGTTCTCACTGGTCATTTAGGTGCCAAATTACAATATTACCTGAACTCCCTCTGTCAAATACAACATTCCCCTCACACAGTTGTTTTTAAGAGATTTTTTTCCCCCTGACATATAGAAAGCTTTCCATTAAGACAGAAGATGGGAAGAAAGTAAGAAAGGGGAGGAGGGAGGAAGGAAAGAAACACAATACATTTAATATGTTCCAGTATTAATCCACAAATATAAGACTTATAATACAAATGAAGGTGTTTTGTAAAAATATTCATCATTCTCTTGCATTTTCTCTCATGTAGATATTAACACAAAATAGTATAAAACATCAAACATTCTATAGCATCGGGAGACTTACTACCTCTTTTCAAACTCCCAGCAATATTCATTTTCTGGAGACCACAACTAGGAGAAAAGTAGTATCTATTTGTGGTTCTCAATAACTCATATTTGTTCTCTAACTCTACGTGTTGGTGCATATGGTTATGGTTGCATGGGAGCCCTATAATACCTTTTACCTCATGGATTTTTAAATGAAGACCAAATGGTCTTTCTGTGAAAAAAATTTTTGAAGAATAAATTCTTTTGTGCAAATGCATTATTATTAAAATTACAAGTTAAAAAGTAACATATAGAACATTGAGTGAAATGTCAAAGTAACTTTTAAAAATACAAGTCATTGATAATGGTGATTTTTTTTTTTTACCTGTTCTTAAAGAAGAACAATTGTCCACGAATTTTGCTTACAGCATCAAATGTTAATTTCCTATCACAGGCTTGTGGTATTTGCAACACTTTGGGTGGGATGGGATTTTTGGAAGGTCCTCAAAAAATAAATAAAAGTTCTGAAGTTAAGTTAGGTTGGCATACTGTATTAACACAAAACTACATTTGAATGAAGGCTCTTTCTTAAAGATCACAGTTAATAGTTGTTTATTTGAAACATATATATATATAGACCAATAATGGCCTGTCCAAAGTACTTTTCTTTGTGCTCACCATAGATGGCCTGGATGGCATTGATGTTCCTCTGAGACAGCATGACATCACCATAGTAGAAGTAAGATGAGTGCATCAAAGAACCAATGTGGTTATCATGATTTAGTCCAAGGGAATGACCCAATTCATGTGCTGCAACATGATACAAGTTGTAATCTAAAAAGGCCAATAAAACACAGTTGCAGTTTTTAGAATGTTATATTTTCAAGGAAGTCAAAAAGGAAATATAAATCTCCAAACTGTGCAAACTTTATTGTTGACTTTGTTCAAATTTGGGGTGTGCATGTGGTGTGTGGTATGCATGCGTGTGTGTGTGTGTGTGTGTGTGTTCAATGAAAGGATCAAAGGCCTTCATTAATACTAGAGATGCTGATCACAGTCTGAATTTCTGAAATTGGACTAGTATCCTACAAAAAAATCAGATGACAGGGAAAAATCACAGCATTGATTAGCAAATGTCATTAAGTAAGAAAAAGTATTATATTTCAGAAGAATAATGGCATCCTATGAGCATTTATTATTTTGTTACACTCATAAATTTATATAGGCTTACTGCTAAAGTGAGCAAAATTCTCCAAAATCACTTTGCCAAAGGCTACCATTTTTCAATTTTAGTATATAAACATATATGTGATATGACATTTAATATCATAGTAAAAATTTTAGAGCAGCATATTTTGTGTCAGTAGAGTTACACAGCTTGAAGAAATAATATTCTCTTATGTTTGTACTAAAGGAGACAAAGTAGTTACCATTACCTTTCTAAACAATTTATAGCATCAAAAAAAGTTTATGTTTATTAAAGTATTTAAGGGTGATTCCAAAATTGTTTCATTTTACTGAAAGCATTCTTTTAGATAAAACCAAAAATATTACAATAAGCTATGGAAGGGGAAAAGTAAAAGAGACAGCAAAGGGATTAGCCGGCTCACTTCTGAGATCGTTGCTCCATGTTTCATCTTCATTAAAATGGACATCTCCCCCTAAGCCTTGTCCCGGTGGGAATGCATGAGCCAGGTAATTACTACCACGTCCGTAAAAGGGAGAATTGTCACCATGATCTGCAGGAAGAAGAATTCAACAAAGATACATCCCAGCTTTATTCGGCATGACCCAGGAGAGACAAGAGAACAATCACAGGGAGCAAAAGAAATTCTTCAACTCTGAGACTTTCAACCATTTGGCCCACAAAATCAACACCCTCGTATATAAGGAGGAATTCTGACCGAGCAAGTCCCAGAGCAGCAGCAGGGAAGTTCAGAATGATTTGGGGAGGGAAGAAGAGCTTACCTCCCCACACAAAGGATAGCATTATGTCTGCTTCACCCTCAAAGACCTGGGTGAAAGTCAGGTCTGCCGCATTGCTCCAGAGTTCAAAGGCTTTCCCAATGGCACGGTCCACGTCCCCTGGAGGCAAATCTGGTGTGCGGTTTTTGATCCTTAAAATGAAAAAGGAGAGAACAGATACATACTGGACTTCATTTCTTACTGTCCCGGGGGGACATAGTATTCTCACCCTGGCGCTCAGTCTGGTTACCTGTAGGTCAGGTTTGTTCTCTGCCAACGATAGCTCCCATGGGCGCTGTCAAAATAGCCCACGTCGGGCACCCCACACCTGGGCTGCTTCATCACCTTCAGGATCTCAGCATCTGGCTTCCCAGTCACCTTCAGCCCGAAGAATGCCTGCATTTGCTTCAGCTTTTCAACTACTGGGCCACTTTTTCTCTGCCCTCGGAATTGCTTGATTCCGCTCTTCAAGTTGTAGTAGTTTTCTAGGTATTTCTGATAAAGAAAAGAATACCGAAACACTGGATGTAAAACCTTTCTCAATTTTCTAGAAAGTTGCAACATTTCACTGTGGTGACAGAATAGCCTCTTTTCCTTAATTATAGAGTGCACAGAGGAAAAAGAGCTGTCTGCTTCCATAATCATGCTGTAGCCCTTATTCTGCTTATGATTGATGCAGAAAAGCTATTGCAGTAGAAAACCCCACGCTGTTCCTACCTCTAGCTTTCCTGTGAGCTCAGGATTAGTATAGCTGGTCTACATTTTGTTCCTTTAGTTCCCTCTAGCTGTACCTTCTAAAAAAACGTCTATGGATTGATAGATGTTAATAGAATTCTGTTTTTGTTCTGAAGGGACCTGTTTCTGATAAAATACTCTCTCCTGGAATGAATCCCAAACTTGCTTGAATTCCTATCCCTTGACTTATGAAAAATGAGGACCTAGTGCTCTTGCATTACTGACATGGGAAATGCAGCACTTACCTGGACTAGTTCCTCATCTTGCTCTTGGGTTTCTGGAGTTGCTGGGAGGCCATGAGACCCCAGGCCCCAGAGCAGCAGCAGCAGCAGAGAAAAGCTGGGCATGCTAGCCTTTGTCTTCCTTCTCAGGGCAAGACAACTGAGGGCTCCCACCTGCCTGCTGCTCCAGGGTCTCAGCCTGCAGCCTCCCTCTTTAAGTAGGGTCCTTGCATTCCCAGAAAACCAAAGACTATCTGATTCCCCTGAGGTAACATCCTCTTCATTTGCAATGTGTGGCCTCAATATTCATCAGAAATTGTGACATGAAGCAGGCTAACCTTTTGCTTTTGCAATCTCATGAGTATAATCAAACAGGACATCAACAATGAGACACACCCTACCCTATACAGTTGGGCAGAGCCCTAAAGCATGGCCGAGTCACATAAAAGGATCTGGGGAAAAAGCATTCCTGACAGAGGAAACTGCTGGTGCAAAATAATTTTTTTTTTTTTTTGAGACAGAGTCTCGCTTTTGTTGTCCAGGCTAGAGTGAGTGCCATGGCGTCAGCCTAGCTCACAGCAACCTCAAACTCCTGGGCTCAAGCGATCCTACTGCCTCAGCCTCCCGAGTAGCTGGGACTACAGGCATGCGCCACCATGCCCGCCTAATTTTTTCTATATATATTAGTTGGCCAATTAATTTCTTTCTATTTATAGTAGAGACGGGGTCTCGCTCTTGCTCAGGCTGGTTTTGAACTCCTGACCTCGAGCGATCCTCCCGCCTCAGCCTCCCAGAGTGCTAGGATTACAGGCGTGAGCCACCGCACCCGGCCATGGTGCAAAATATTGAGGAGTAAATGATCACATATATTCAAGAAGTAGTGCTGAGACCGACGTGGCTAGAGCAGAGTGGACAAAGGGGAGAACAGTAAGGGACTAAGAGAATGGTTACAATGGTAGAGGAAGATGAGAGAGAGTTTGCAGATCATTGCAGGGACTCTAGGTTTTGCTATGAGCAATATAGAGAATCACTGCTCTGGGGAACACTGTCCCTTGGTCTCTTGCTAGAGCTACTGGCTTTCGGGACTGCCATGTAGACAGGGACCTATAGCAACATGAGAGAGAGAGAGAGAGAGAGAGAGAAAGGCACAAGTAGAATGTGCTTCCCAAGGCCTGTCCCCAGTTGGAGGCACCTGAGCCTGCCCTATACAGCGTGTCATTTCTTCCCCAACACTTGCCAGGTCACTAAGACACATATTTTCTTTATCAAGAAAATCTTGGCTTTTGCTAATGTGTGTGATAAAGCTAAATGAAAGGAAACGAACTCATTTGCTGAATCGTTTTTCAATGAAAGGCAATGACTGTGAAGGTTTAACATGAGAAAAATATTTCTGAGAAGGCCTTGATAGCAATCAGCTGTTCTATTATGAAGCTGGGCCTGTGCTGTCCAGTGCAGGAGCCACTAATCTATGTGACCACCGAGCCCTTGAAATGTGGCCCATCTGTACTGGGGCATGCCACAAGTGTGAAATATGCACCAGATTCTGAGGACTTAGTATAAAGAAAAGAATGAAAAAAAATCTCATTCTTGATGTTGTAACATTGATTGCATGTAGAAATTATAATATTTTGAATATACTGGGTTAGATAAAATATGTTACTAAAATTAATTTCCCTTGTTTTCTTTTTATGTTTAAAAGTGTGGCTACTAGGAAATTTAAAATTCCACATAACTGCACTGATCTAGTGACCTATATGATTAAAAGATGGGCCAGTTAATCACGTGCCCCATCAGTTATTTATTATTTAGAGCCCAGTAGGTGCAGAACATTGCACTGGCATTGTGAGTGATCAAAACTATACCCTGTCTAGGCACAGTGGCTCATACCTGTAATCCTAGCACTTGGGGAGGCCAAGTCAGGAAGATCAATTGAGGCCAGAAGTTTGAGAAGTTTGTCTCTACAAAAAAAATTTAAAAATTGGCCAGGCATAGTGGTGTGCATCTGTAGGCCTAACTCTTTGGAAGGCTAAGCCAGGAGGACTGCCTGAGCCTGGGAGTTGGAGGTTGCAGTGAGCTGTGATCAGGCCACTTCACTCCAGCCTGGGTGACAGCGCGAGACTCTGTCTCACAACAAACAAACAAAAACTGTACCCACTACCCCACACAAGAACCTGGACTCTGCCATCATCACGGCAGAATCTATGTGGGAAGATGAAACATACACATCTAACAAGTTAGCAGCAGATATCTCAAAGAAGTTGTGAAGATGAGTCTATATCCTCTTGATAAACTCTAAATCTTTTTTCCTTTTTATTGACTAGCAGCTACAAGTGGAGATTGAGACTTGTCAATTTGCATGAAAATGATGTTGTTGCCTTAGAGACCTATGGGTTTTTTCCTTTATTTTTCTTTATGTATTTTGTGAGTGGCCGGAATGATGCTGTTTGCTAAAGATTGGCCTCTTTTCCTGGCAATGGGAAGGGTCTTCTGCATAAATCCTAGAGTGATGTAGATCTTGCCTGGCCTTCCTCCTCATGGGGTACTATTTGTTGTTTGCTTGCTTGGCTGCCTTCCCTCTATATATTTAGCTTCTCGAGGGTAAGTGTTTCGGTTACCTGTTACGCAACAAACCACTTTGAAATTTAGTGTTTCAAAATAATAACAATTTATCCTCTGTCTTGACTCTAAAGCTGATTGGATCTCAGCTGGACAGTTCGGCTGCTCTGGATTGGAATTGCTTCTGTAGGCACAGTCAGATCGTGGCGGGGCTGGAACAACCAAAATATTCTGGCTTCATCATGGGTCTGGTGTCTTGGTGGAGAAGATTGGAAGCAGGGCTCAGAAGATCTCTCTCTCTTTCTCTCTCTCTCTCTCCCATGCAGTCTCAGAGATTCCTCTCCTTCAGCAGAATAGCCAGTGTTTTCTTTTTCTGTTACTACTTTTGGCAGTACTTTCCCCATAGATGCTTGGACACATTTGATCCAGGGGGGCTAACCTGCATTTATTTATCCATTTAACAGATACTTAATTCATATCTTCAGTGTACCAATCACTTATGGTGGGGGAGCAAGAAATGGGCCAGATTCGTGCATGGTACCTGTAGTCTGTGCTATAAAATATTCATACAAAGTCCTGCAGTTGCACAGAAGATAAAGATGTAAATTTCCCCTGAGGACCTGGACAAAGGGAGATGGTGGATCAGTCTGGCCCTCTGTTTCTCACCCTTCATTAATCCTCATTCCTCCTCCCAGGCGTTTGTCAGATTCACAAACCCTCTTTAATCTTCTTTGCATATTTTTCTTTAAATGCAATCCCTTTAAAATCATAAACTCATTCTAGGTGATAATATCTGCGGAAATATGATTAGCATTTTGATTTCATAGTAAATGTTTGTCCCTGTACCACAGACAAACCTCTTCTGTGCCTCTAATGATTTGAGGCCCCCTTTGGGAAAAGCTGCTCTGGCCTGATGACTTTCTCCCTTTGCAGCGGACCAACCTCTTCCCACGAGAGCATGAACTCAACAAGCGATGCAGAGGGTTCTTCACTTCCTCCTCTTTGGCAAGTTCCTCTCCCCTTTTCCACCAAGTCAATTTGATTTCACAGAATCCCACGGGTCTTATAAAGTCTCTGTTTTCCAAGTAGTGACCCTAGCATGACCTTGAGCACAACAGAGATGAGTGTATGAACTCCCAACAGACAATGGATAAGAACACATTCTCCCCTGTCGATTTAATGTGGTTTTTTTTTGTTTGTTTGTTTGTTTGTTTGTTTTTTGAGACAGAGTCTTGCTTTGTTGCCCAGGCTAGAGTGAATGCCGTGGCATCAGCCTAGCTCGCAGCAACCTCAATCTCCTGGGCTCAAGCGATCCTACTGCCTCAGCCTCCCGAGTAGCTGGGACTACAGGAATGAACCACCATGCTCGGCTAATTTTTTCTATATATATTAGTTGGCCAATTAATTTCTTTCTATTTATAGTAGAGATCGGGTCTCGCTCTTGCTCAGGCTGGTTTTGAACTCCTGACCTCGAGCGATCCACCCGCCTCGGCCTCCCAGAGTGCTAGGATTACAGGCGTGAGCCACTGCAGATTTAATGCTTAACCACAACTTCCTCATCTAAATAGAGTGTTGCATGAGTTTAAGCAGAAAAGGGGAAGTGAATGAATTTCTCAGGAAAAAGCAAATCCCATCTTTCACACGGGACTCATGATGCCTGCAGAGGCGAGGGAAATCCGGAGAGAGGGCACCTTCTAGGATAGGTGGGATATAGGTAGTGTTTTCCCAGCCAAGATGGGGCAGGAACTCCCTGAGCACTAAGGGGTGTGTGCTCACCGTGGGTGGAGAGCGGGTCACCTCAGCACTCCTGGGGCTTCCTGCCAGGGGTTGCTCTTCTCTCCCAGCAGCCACAGAGACAGGAAAGGGGGCTCCTGGTGAACTCAGGAAAATGCCATTTTGACCTTGAGTAGCTGGGACTATAGGCATGTGCCACCATGCCTGGCTAATTTTTTCTATATATTTTAGTTGTCCAACTAATTTCCTTCTATTTTTTTAGTAGAGACGGGGTCTCGCTCTTGCTCAGGCTGGTCTCAAACTCCTGAGCTCAAATGATCCGCCTGCCTCGGCCTACCAGAGTGCTAGCATTACAGGCATGAGCTACTGCACCGGATGGGACCCTGCCTAGGTTTTAATGTCATCTCTGCCATTTTTAAGAAATCTAACCTTCGACAGCATTCTCAATCTTTTAATGCCTTAGTTTCCCCAGTGTAAAATGGGAATGATTATGGTCCCTACCTTATGAGGTTGTTGTGAGATAAAAATGAACTAATGTTAAAATGCTTAGCACAATACTGCCATTTGGTAGGAAATAAAAAAAAAATTAGCAATTATTATTATGGATAAAATTTATCAATGCCCACCAAGGCAATTCTCAACGCATCTTAGCATCCAAGGTCTTCTGTACTGAGGTCTCAAAATATCTTCTTAACCCAGCTTCTCAGTTTTCTTACCCAATGTGTAAAAAAAGATCCTGGAACTACTCATTCTTCAAATATCTCCTGAAATTTAATTGTCATGCCTTCATTCATGCGTTTCTTTTCCTCTGACTACAATGAATAAAATTCTATTCT